TTCAATAGTGATGGAAACGTGTAGTTTGAGTCTATAGTAATATACATCAGTAGGTTTAGTGGTAGAAAACAGGGAATTTCTCTTTGAACTGTTTATATTTTCTAAGTAAAATTAAAAGCAAGGCAATCAGCTAAGCACGAGCACAGGGTTTTGTCACTGTGAGAAAAAGGTAAAATCATTCTTTTGGAAGGGTAAAGTGTAAATTGTGTAAAAGAAGTGGCAAAATCACCAGGCACCACTGACAAATCACTTGAGGTTTGTGGCAATCAATTTAAGTAGGCCAGTAACTTTCTGTGTTTTCCTTCAAGTACTAGGAAAGAATAGGTGGGTTTTCACAGCTGAGGGTCCAGGTGAGATAAAAGGAAGTTGTTATATGGGAGCCGAAAACCACATATTTTTATCTACAAAGAATGGTTGAAATAGTGAACCACGGAGTCTAAGCTAGGCAAGGGAGGAGAGGGGAGAAAGTGAGAGGACCCTGGGAAGTGAAAAGAAATAGAATGAAGGAGCTGAAAATGGTAGTAGAATAGAACTTGTGAAGTTCTGAGAATGTATAACTTAGTTCCTTTCAGATCCCTGAAGATGTGGCACTCATTCGAGGTGAGCTAGCATAAAAAGTGCCTGTGAGGAGGGGACCGCAGGAGAGCCCAAAAGTGTTGAGGGTCCAGAGGAAAGCAATGGGCAAGTGGGCCAGAGCTTCGGTGGTCAGGTTGTTCTGCCAACATAGACATGATAATCTGAGATGGCAGTTACATTCTGCATCAACCAGTGTCGAATTTTTTATTTACTTAACTGCATATGTTTGTATATACATGCGTGTACATTTCTGAGAAGAACACTGGAATTTTGAAAGAGTTGAAGGAGATTTTCCACTTTATAAACTATAACATACATAAATGTTTTTTTAAAATTGTAAATATCATTTCAACTTAAAAATCAGGCAAGAAACAAGGTTTTCCTGGCTGTATAACCTGACTGCAACTCGATATAAAGAGTTAGGATATCTAAGGAAAGAATGTCTCAATTGGATACAAGCTTTTTAGTCATGGAAACCCTTCAGAAAGAAGTCAGGAGGGCAAATTTGGCAGTTTTCATCCAAGCACTACCCAGGAGGGAAGGACATTTAGCCAAGAGCCTGAGTATACTAGCTCTGTTGGCAAGCCTACTCCTGTTTGAAGATGAACTCATCAGCTGTCAGAGTTTAATGCCATTAAAAATTGGATTCATCTAACTTCTTTGGCTTGATCCCATATTTATTAAACAATCCTCTGATTATTCTCTCTTTCCATGTGTGTACTTACGAGGACAAACTGTGTTGCTCATGTAGTCTTCAAGTATTTTCATCCCTATGACGATTATTTCACATTGTATATAAAGTCACATTTTGGTTCAGAAGCTTGGATAGGGTAAGCTTGTTCTTGAGAAGTGCATTTGCTTTTGGGAAGCTGACAAAACCAGGTTATTTAGAGTGTGGAACTGCGGGCCAATTCCCAGGCCATAGTAAACCCACTGAGGTAAAGAATACGAGCTAGGAGGCTCTGGAAGGCAGCCAGCCTTTTCCCTGGCAAGCTCCCTTGCAATAACTGTGTACCTCATCTATACTTGGAACTTGAGCTCAAATTTGGCTTTTTCTGTGATGCTTTCTTTGGGCCCTCCATCCACACCTGGCTGATGGTGGTCCATTTTTCGGGTCATACCACCTACAGGGTTCACAGAGAGTCTTGCCTTCCCAAGTACTGTAACAGTTTTCTTGGACTCACTTTAGATTCCTCCTCATAGGAAGGATGGGTGACTATTTATGTCTGTCTGTAGATTCCCCCAAGCAAAAGTTATGTCTTCATGTTTGTGTTCCAGAAAGAGTTCTAACCATATCATTTTCCTCATAGGGTATTCCCAAAGTGTTGTGCGTGAGAGCCAGGCCTCCCCTATAAGTAAATTTTCCTAATTTCATTAGGGTAGAATTTCATTAGGAGAGCCACAGTGTAAAATAAAGATGTATACTGCCTGTCAGTTATTCTCATTAGATAAGTTAGCTTATTTTACTCCATAATTATTATAGAAACTGTATGGACAAAAAGCAGTATTTTCTTGTACCTTTATGCCATGCAGTGCTATACAGGAATAGGTCTACAAAGCTAAGGAAAAATTATGGTCATTGATGGTAGAATACAGTATATGGGCTGCAGGCTCTGAGGTCTGCAGAATTCAAGAGAAGGGATGCAAATGCATTTTAATATGTTTATTCAGGACTTACATGTTCCATGCCACAGGAATCTGGGGATATGGGGGAAATGAAAGAAGCATGAAGACTGCCTCCCACAGCACGCAATATACATTTTCACTGTCTGGTTTGTAGCAAACCAGAAACAGCATTCTCTGTCCCCTTTGAAGCAGAATTTTGTAAGAAAGAATGAATGTAGTCCCACAACTCCTCTGATTTGAAAGGAACACCTTGTAGTTTTTATATGCATCTCTTATCCACTGTGACTTTTCAACTGGGCTCTGTGATTCCAGAGTTTGGGATGTGGAAATGAAACACTCAGCTTTGCCTTTTCCTGGGGGTGTGGACCTGCCAGAAATGTAGCTATGCTCAAGTGCAGGAACTGAAGGCACTGGGCACACCTCCTTGGACTGCTGACTGCAGTTACGTTTCCTGTAAAATTCTGTAACTGGCTGTGGCACCTACAGCATCACTGTATTTTTTGATCCTTATAAAATTATTTTAATGGTGTTCTGGTACTGTAAATGGTGTCCTTTTAATTATTTAATAACTTTTGGGTGTGGGTCCAGCAGAGAGGGATGGTGCCCATAGACACATCACACTTTATATCCCATCTTACTCTCCCTTATTTTTTTTTTTAAATAAAAAGCATTGTAGCTAAAAAAAAAAAGAGCCACAATCAGCTGTTATCTTAGTGCTTTACTTGAGACACTTTCCTGATTTTAATTTTTTCTAGCATCAATAATAAAGCAATTATTACTAAGATGAACTCCTAATGGATTTATAAAGACATAATTAATGAGAAAATGAAGTAAAACACTGTATGCTCACTGTACTGTGAAAAGATTGGCAAGAGCCTACTTTTATGCAGAGCACAATGAGTTTTACTGAAGGCAAGAACACATATCAGCATCACTGATGTTGATGAAAATAGAATCTCCAGCCCTAGGCATGGGCCAGGAGGCTATCTGGTTGCCAGTGTAAGTACATCCATGGTAGTAGATATTCCAAGGAAATTACAGGAATAAACTAGAACTGTCCTGAGTAGACAGACACATGGTAACTCCGCATATGGGATGGGGTGATGAAGACTGTCCCAGGGCTGCACAGCCCTCATTCTGTGTTTGGTCAGCACATTATTGTCACAATAATAATATTTGCTGTACCATTTGAAAAACATTTGTAAAATATCATCCTAGCACATAAGGATGACAAAGTGTGTAATCTAAAAAGTTTACATCTGAAAGCTTTCTTAAGTAGAGAAAAAAGCTGAAGGAGAATTATTCAAAGCAATAAAGTACAGGAGAAATAAAGTTTATTTTCAATAAAAGATCTTGTTGGTAATGAGTAGTATATATTTATACTTTTAATATAGAGATGTTAAGAGATGTTACATTGGAAATACAGGAAGTTGGAGGTAAGAACAATTTTCTCAGTACTGTTTATCTTTTTTAGTCTCAAGGTAAAAGAATATCATAATAAATTTAAAAATAAATAGTGCAATTGCTCATCATATTAGTCATTATTAAGTGAGTCCATAGAATTCTATTTTGAGAGCCATATTTAGGTATTATCTTACTGCTTTACTTGAAACTACTTTCCTGATTTTTTTGTTGGTATCCATAATAAAGCATTTTTTGCTAAGCCAAAGTCCTTAAAATTGATGTATAAAATGTAATGAATTAAAAAATGAAGTAAAACAGTTTAAGCTCACTGTATGCTGTAAAAATATTTCCTAGAAATCATAATAACTTATACCATTAACAATTGTGTATGGAAATCAAAGCCATGTAAAAAGTCTGCAGACCCCATTGGTAAAAACAAGCTATCCTTGTGGTGAGACACTTAGATTTCTTATGTAAGGGGATATTTGCTTTTTCTCTGTTCAAAAATAATCATGTACTAGATTTCTTAAAAATAAAAGGCTCTTATTTTAATTTTTTCAAAAGTAATATATTATTTACATTAAACAATCGATGACTTTTTATAATTAAATACTTATAAATTATGTTTTTGTAAATATTAAAGAGGAAGTATATTGAATATTTATTATAAACTTGTTTTCTTTGAAATAATAATTGTTTTATTTTGTTTTAGTTTTCTATTATCATTCACTAAGTTATCCTTAAATACTGCCAGAAGTGTAAACTTCCATTGTTATTGTCAAATACATTCATTAATCTATATGACATTATCTTCATTTTATGCTCAGGAAACAAGTCTACTCTCTTGTCTGGAAGTAGGCACTACCTCTGTCTTCCAAGGCTATGTAAACATCCTTGAGAGATAGTCTGAATCACAGCTGACATTGGAAATACAGAAACGTGAGCCACCCACGAGACATGGCTGTCAGTAACACATGCTGATCTCTTTCTGGGCTCTGTATTCTATTACATGTGCCTGTCTATTCATGTTAGTATCACATTCATTTAAAATACAGATTTTCTAGTACTTTTAATAACATGAACACCCTTACAGGCATTTCTTTTTAGTGTTTTCCTATTATTCTTCAATTTATAAATTAACTTAGAAATAAGTGACATCTTTTTGTTGTTGAATCATTTCACCTGAGAACAAAGAACCTATCTTTCTATTTATCCAGCTTTACTTTTTGTCTATCAGGAGTTGCATAAATTTTTCTCATTTAGTCTGACACATTTCTTGAGTTTACTCCTTTACATTTAATCTTTTCATCCTTGTAATGTTTCTACTCTTACACATTTAAATTGCTTGCATTTATGAATATTATTGATTTCCATATTTTTTTTACTTCCTTACAGAATTCGTTTTGTCTGAGCTAATTGAATCATTAATTCTCTGGATTTTCAAGGTATGGTGTAATATCTTATTAACCAAATCTTATTCCTCTGATTTATCTTGTCTAAATGCATTCAGTATCTCTTGTGCAGTGTAAGTGTTGAAGAAACAAGTTTTTCCTTGATAGAACTCTTTACATCAGATGCTGGGTTTAGGATTAAGCTATGTATCTATGTTTTGTCATGTTTAGAAAGCATCTATCAATTTTTAGTTTTTGAATATTTTCTGAGATGTAGTAATAGATTATTAACTATTTCAAAGATTCTTTAGCACTTGTGCAAGAGTCAACTTATTTTTCTTTTTAGATTTATTTACTTGGTATGTCATATTAATAGATTACCTAGTATTGGAATAATCATAACTTTTTTGAGAAGATGCCACATGGGCCATTTGGTACTATTCCTTAATGTATTATTTGCTCCTATTTTATTTAGTACTTTTGTACTGATATTGACAAGTGATATTGTTATAGTTTCCGTTTTATACTGTTCATAGTGATTATATATTAATATTATAGTTGCTTGGTTGAAAAATTGGGGAGCTGAAAATGCAGCTTAATGTTAAAGCACTTCCTAGCATTGGTAAGTACCATGAACAAAACAAACAAACAAAACAACAGTTTTTCTGCCATTTTTTTTTTTTTGTACTGGGAATCGAACTTGGGTCCTTGCACTTGTGCAGCAGGTGGCAAAACCACTGAGCTAAATCCTTGGCCCTATTCTGCCATTTTTGATGTTTGAAACAACATGCAGATAATTTTTTTTTGTATTAACTTCTTTAATTGGTACATTGTAGGTATACAACACAATTACATTTCTCATTGGGAACTGTACCTTCATATAATGCATCTTGGTTCTTATTTTTTCCCCATTCCTAGCCCTCCCT